AAAAAAAGGTCCTCCAAGGCTGAGAAGGGAGCGTGTTGACATGTCGTGGGGTTGTTAACCAATGTCATAAAACAATATGTGTACTGACTGTTTAATGATAAAATATTTATTCTGTAAACCTTCACCTAAAGTACAATAAAAAAAATAGCTTATAATAAATCTTTATTCTTTATAGTAATCAAAGGAGCCCATGGGTGGTGCCAATGGTTAAGCGCTAGACTACTAGCTGAAAGGTCGATGGTTTGAACCTGCCCAGAGGTGTCTCAGAAGATCGGCCTGACTATATGCTTTCAAAAGGTCACAGGCTGAAAACCCTATGGAGCAGTTATACTCTGCACAAATGGGGTCGCCATGAGTCGGAATCAATTCAACAACAACTAACGACAGTAATCAAAAATTGCCTCAGGATACAGTAAACCCCAACAGTGGAATTTTATCTCCAGTGATAAAGTCAAACATATATATTGGGAATATATATAATATGCCATACCATATTATGAGTGAGAAATGTGAATTAGGAGCATTCAAGAATAACCAAAGCTTAGTCCAAGCTTAGTCTCCACAGAGAGTGTATGTGTGTGATTATAAAAATCAATTGAAGAAATACTTATTAAACTCCTATTATTTGTCAAATACTATGTAAATCCTAAGGATCAGGTAAATAAAATATAATTCTTGCCTTCAAGAAACAGAAGAGAGGGCTATATACATACATAAATTGTAATGTACATTTAGATTTAAAAAATAAAAAACTTATCATAAAACAACAAATTACAAGTTCTACCTAACACTAGGACTTTTTTATAAGTCCTACTTATTAAAATAGTAGGACTTGTTAATAAACATCTATTTATATTATTTTTGCTCTATCATAGAATATTATTTACATAAGAACATGAAAAAAATAGCCTAATTTCCATATTGTGAACCAAAACAGAAAATATATCTTAAAACATCTGAAAAGTATCATAGTCAAAATAGACTTGAGTAAATGAAGACATCCCTTGTCCTTGGAAAGTGTGACTCAATATCCTAAAGAAGTCAGTTCTCTCTAAATTAATTTATAACTTTTAAATAATTTCAATAAAATTACCACTAAGTTATAGAGCTAGAAAAGTAGATTAAAGTTCATATGGAAAAAAAAAAACGAAAATACACATGGAAATTTAGTACACCTACTCCACACTTACTATCTCATTATCCAAAATTTCACATTCACAACAATAGTAAAAAATCTACTATTCAGCTATTTTGTGCATTAATGATGAAAGTCTGGCAGTAATGAGCCCCAAGATGTAAGGAGAGAGTGATGCTGGCTGTGATGGTTAAGGTTATGTGTCAACTTGGCTGGGCCATGATTCTCAGTGGTTTGGCAGTTATATAAGGTCATTTCACAGTTATGTAATGATGTAATTTGGCAAGCATGTAATGGTGTAATTTGGCAGTTATGTAATGACGTAATTTGGAAGTTATGTAATGATGTAGTCATCCTCCATTTTGTGATCTGATGTGGTCATCCTCAATTTTTGCATAACGCTGATTTTCGCATAACGGCCTAGTCTTTGGAACCTGACCATGTCGGTAAGTGAGGAGTGGGTGTATATGATAAAGGCAGCATCTCAAATCACTAAAGCAAAAACGGTGTTTTTAAAAAATGGTGCTGGAATAACTGGGTAGACATTTGAAAACAGATGCATGTAGATCTGTACCTTACACCACATGTAAAATAAACCTCAAATAGATTGGGGATGTAAATATAAAAAAAATGAAACCACCATTCACGTACTAGAAGATAACCTGGGTGTAAGGTGCCTCAAGATCCAGAGACAAATTTTATACCACAGAATAATTTCTTTGCATGGCAAAAAACATCATAAATGAAGTCAAAGACAACTGAAAACTGGGAAAAATGTTTGTAATAGATATCACAGATAAAGAGCTAATATCTCTAATTTGTTTTTTTAAAAAAGTCTTAAAAATTTAGGAGAAAAAAGACCAAAAATCCATGGGAAAAATGGGAAAAAATTAAATAAAATTGCCTCTTAAACATAAGAAAAACTATTCAATGGGACACACAATTAGAGAAATATAGATTAAAATTATATTTAACCTATCCAATTGACAAAAATCAAAAGCACAACAATATACTCCATTGTAAGGCTCTGAGATAAGAGACACTCTCATACATTGCTGGTGGAAATGCAAATTGCTACAGTACTTTTTGAGATGAATTTGGCAATATCTAACAAAACCAAATTATGTATTTACTTTTTGACCTAAGCAATCCTATTTCTAGGAATTTACCCTGAAGATACACTTCCAACAATAAGTAAATACACTTGCAAAATCATTGACTCATTGTTTGCAAATGCAAAATATTGGAAAACAATCTAAGTGTTCATACATTGAAAAGTGGCTGAATAAACCACGGTATACCCATACAAGGGAGTACTGTCCAGTTGTAAAAATGAATGTGGAAGATATCTATGAACTAATAAGGAGTGATTTCCAGAATACATTATTATGTGAAAAAAGTAAAGTACAAAAGAGTATCTATAGTATGTTTCTTTCATGTAAGGAAGAAGAAGATAAAAGGAAAAATATGCGTATACGCTCATTTGTGCAAAAAGAAATACAGGAAGGATAATTAAAAAAAACTAATCAAACTAAGTCACCTACAAGATGTAGGTGTGAATAGGGGTGGAAAGGATGGGGATATGGGGATGGGCTAAAGACATTTCTCTGACATTCACTTTTTGTATAGATTTAATTTTAGAACAAGGTTACCCTTCACATAGGCAAACAAATACCTAGATAAATAAACAAACCCAAATTGGAACACAAATAGAAAAAAATAAATTTAATTATATTTCAAATGAATAACATAATACACTAAAGGGGGAAAAATCTAATCCAAGTAATCCTAAACACAGTATTTTGACTATATACTCTCAGGGTAAAGACAAAAAGGGATTATAGACAAATACTAAATTCCAGTGAGCAGGCATGTTTCCAACAGTGTTATGGGTTAGTAACTTTAAAACTTCTTAACGTGTGTTCTAGGACTGAATAAAGTAAATAAATATGCTGTGGATAACAAGCGCCAGGGTTCTCATTGTCAGAGAAGGGCGTTACAAATATTGGAAGGGGGAAGGCTAGAATTAGCACTGTGAGTTGGACTGGAGTGGAAAGTATCAGTATCAACTCATGGTTTATAATATACATAGAGATACAGAAATATAGACATGTTTGTTTCTCTGTGTAAGTGTGTATGTCTATATATGCATATGGTGTGTGTGTATGTGTGTTTGTGTAGAAGTATATGATGTATATATGTATGTATTTATTTGTGTGTATGTATATATATTTCTATATACATACATATGTGTGTGTGTATTATGCATGGAGAGCAAGACATATAGATATATTTCCTAGCTCCCACTGCTGAAAGAGTCTAGAAGCAATAAAACCGCGGTGGCAAAGAACTCATCACACACCGAGATCTTGGTTTCTAAATACTATTCTCCACTAAAACGAACAAGTGTTCCTTGAAGAAATAAACAGCTGATTTCAGGGCTGGGACAGGGAAAATGCAAGACTGACCTGGGACATCTTGCTATGCCAGAAAAACAACGAAGTACTCAAAGAATAACGGGGGCATTTAAATTAAAAAAAAAAAATTCACCAAAATAAATGAAAGACTGGAGGTGGAGACAACATGGTGCTATAGAAAGAAGCATCATGACATTTCTCTACAGCAAAAACTGGAAAAACAAGTAAAACAGATACAGATGTCAATCCTGGAACCCTAAGCAACAAATGAAGACAAAAAGAACTCGATCAAGCACCAAACTGAATAAGAAACTGACAGAGAACAGAGAATGAGAAGGGCTATGGAGTGGAAGTCACTTACCAGCTAATGCAGCACACATTCTCCATCTTGGACTTCAGTCACCAAGGAACGCAGACAGGGAGTATGGGAAGGCAACTCTACAGAACTCCCACCAGAAGACGGATTACCCAGTAACCAGTGACACACGCTTTGCCAACCCCCATCTTTCTTCCCTCTACACAGCCTCTGCCACTTTCCAACAGACCATGGTTGCTTGGCCAGAGAGACACCAGTTCCTAGCCAGCTCCTTCAGCATCATTTTTTTTTCTTCTTTTTTTGGCTTTTTTTCTTTCTTCTCTCTCTCACTTCCTTCCTTTCCTTTCTCCCACCAAGCTAGCACCGTGTGCCGCCTCTGCTCCTTCTTGACAGGCTGTGACACACCACTGGACTAGAGAGCCACCGGCACATGGCTTCCCCAGTTGGTGCCATCCCACCAGCGGGCTCCCTCAGCACCATTTTTTTGTTTGTTTCTTATCTCTCACTCCTTTCCTTTCTCCCATATACTTAGCCAAGTGTGACATCTCCAACCCTTC